TTGTGTAAATGTGGTGTACATCTAGGTTTTGTGTGTGTGTATTTTACATGTTTGTTAATAAAAAATAAAAAAAAAGAAGATGATGATGATCCAAATTTTCATCAGAACTCTGGCCAGAACATGGTCGGTTTGATTTGGCCTCAGTTAACCACAGTGGGTTAACTGTGAACCACCCATTCATCATCATCTTCTTTTAATTACCCCATCATCCCTTGCTGGGCGGAGTCTGGGCGACTGAATGGAGCTGAGTATTTACTGGCCGGATGCGCTTCCCGTCACCAATACGGAGTTTCGTTCAGCAGATATAATCTCATTGTGCCCAAAGAGAGAAAGATTTGCCTCTACTTAGGATCGAACTCCCAGCCTCCTGATTGAGAGGCAAGAGCTCCACCTCTAGGTCCCACAACACTCAGCCATAGAAACTAATCATCATCTTCTTTTAATGGCCCCACAATCCTTTGGGGGTGGAAGCTGGGCAACTGAATGGAGCTGAGTATTTACTGGCCGGATGCGCCTCCCGTCACCAATACAGAGTTTTGTTCGGCAGATACATTCTCATTGTGCCCAGAGAGAGAAAGATCTGGTCTCTACCTGGGATTGAACTCACAGACCTCCTGATTGTGAGGCGTGAGCTCCACTTCTAGGCCAACGCACCACTCGGGTGGAGCCACCCATTGCAGTTTGTAAATCAGAATCTGTGGCCTATAAGATACCTGGATGGATGAACAAGAAACCACGCCTTTTATTCAGTGTGGGAACCTAGCTATCATGGAAAATGTCCCCCACCCCTTTTTTTGTCTATTGCTATTGGGGTTCATGTGTCGGTATGTGGTTCTCCCCCCTTTTGCTTTTCAGTATCTTGTTACTTGGCACACCATCGATGCTGACGCTCCAGAGCTCAGCCACATCCTGTGCTGGACCCCCACCGACCCACCGACGGGCCTCTCCTATTTCTCAAGCATGTACCCTCCTCATCCTTTGACAGCTCAATACGGGGTAAAAGTGCTGCGATCTTTCCCTCCGGTAAGTAAGACGTTTGCCGGAAAAGATCATAGAACGTCTTTGTGCTGAAGTACTGTAGATGCTGGGCTCCTAAATGACCCCCCTCGGCCTTTTTCCCAACTTCAGTTTGGAGTGGCATGGCCTGGCATGGCATGGCAGTCAGGGGTGAGATCCAGCAGGTTCTGACAGGTTCTGGAGAACCGGTAGCAGAAATTTTGAGTAGTTCGGAGAACCGGTAGCGTAAATTTGTCACCTCTGTATGATCCCAGAGTGGGGAGGGAATGGAGATTTTGCAGTATCCTTTCCCTGGAGTGGGGAGGGAATGGAGATTTTGCAGTATCCTTCCCCCAGGAATAGGAAGGAAATGGGGATTTTGCAGTATCCTTCCCCCTGGAGTGGGGTGGGAATGGAGATTTTTACAGTCATAGCTGGGTGGAGAATTCTGGGAGTTGAAGTCCATAAGTCTTAAAGTTGCCAAGTTTGGGGACCTCTGGTATAAGGTCACTCCTGCTTAAGCAGGGAGTTGGACTAGAAGACCTCCAAGGCCCCTTTCAGTTCCATTCTGATTGATTGATTAATTGATTGATTGAAAATGTGGATGCTTAGCAACCAGCATGTAATTTTTAAAAATGCAGCTCTTTGCCTGTTGATGATGGGAGGAGATGCTCTTGAAGGCAGAATGTCGGTACTTTGACAAAAAGAAATCCTAACTTCTTTTTTCTTCTTCCCCTTTTCTCCACCCCCAGGATGCTATTCTATTCTACATTCCACAGATTGTTCAGGCCCTTCGATATGACAAGGTAAGGGCTGATAAAGACTGCAATGGATGGATGAATGGATGGATGGGAGAACTTTAGACGAGAGGAAAATTATATTCATATGGATATCTAGTTCTAGGTAAAAATGATAGAGATCTAGAGAGGTAAATGATAGGTAAGTGGGTGGGTGGATGGATGGATGATGGATAGATAGAGAAAGAGAAAATAGAGAGAAAGAAAGAATGATAATGTCGACAGAATTGCAGAAAAGATACACATTGCACAAGAGTCATAAATAATAGATATATGAGAGAGAAAGAGAGAGAGATGGAGGGAGGGATATGGATAGGTAGATAGATACTGAGAGTCGTAAGTAGAGATAGAGGTATGAATGTAGATGAATGGATGGATGGATGGGAGAACTTTAGACGAGAGGAAAATTATATTCAGATGAATATCTAGTTCTAGGTAAAGATGATAGAAATCTAGAGAGGTAAATGATAGGTAGGTAGGTGGGGGGGATAGATAGAGAAAGAGAAAATAGGAAAGAAAGAAAGAAAGAGAAAGAAAGAAAGAAAGAAAGAAAGAAAAGAAAGGATGATAATGTAGACAGAGTTGCAGAAAAGAAAGATGCTACACATTGCACAAGAGTCATAAATAATAGATATATGAGAGAGAGAAAGAGAGAGAGAGATGGAGGGAGGGACGGATATGGATAGGTAGATAGATACTGAGAGTCGTAAGTAGAGATAGAGGTATGAATGTAGATGGATGGATGGATGGATGG